AAGCAGTGTGGGACAACCCCCTTTGAATGTTCGCAAGATCGCCAGTGGGGACGTCGTCCTGCACACCTCAGTGACCGCTACGGGCAAACCCACGTGACCCGCTCACCCCTTTGCAAACATCAGCCGAGGGATGGGGTCTCCTCAGACATAGAGTATGTCTTGCAGGGGAGACAGAAAACACATCGTGACACCCTGCCTGCAGTCAGCCCGGACTCAGTTTACCCTGACGTACGGGACCGCTTTGGGCCAAGACTTAACCACTTCACCTTCGTGGTCCTGAGCATCGGTTCTATTTTACTGTTCCTAGCGTGTGAGGGTCTTTATCATCCACGCAAACGGTTTCCGGAAGTAGGAAGGATGTACATTAAAGGTAAACACGGCGGCTGGGGAGTTTCCCAGAGATGCCGAGGCCACAGAACACAAAAGTCACACCCAAGGTGTGGGGTCCATGAGTTCCCGTTTTCAGGTTTCCCAAAGAAACCCCATTTCAGGTGCCAATCACGCGTCTCGAACATTCGCCTCACGGCTGCTCTCCCCGAAACCCCTCAACGTCACGTGTCGGGGCACGTTCGGTCTCTCGCTTGCGGCACGGCCCCACGGAGCCCCTCGGGGGGCCGCCAAATCCCCCTACACCCGAGTGAGCCCCCTTTCCCAGAGCCGCCCCACCCGGGGTGGCGGGGCGGGCGGTCACGTCTCGCCGTGTGCTGCCGGCAGGGTCGGTAGGACGGGGGCAGCCGCGAGAGGCCCCCCCAGAAAAGGACAGGAAAGCCAGACCGACCCCAGGGGCCCCAGCACAATGGCGTGCGAGCACTCACCATGGCCCTGATGTTGTGATGAGTGCTCAGGACGCCCTTGGGCCTCCCTGTGGTCCCGCTGGTGTAGATGATCATGGCGCCTCGGTCTCTCCAGTTCTGCTCCGGCACCCGCCATTCCCCGGGCGCCTCGGCCGCCGCACCGTAGACCGTGGGCGGGAGGGGCAGCAGTGGGACCCCCAGCCTCCCGACCACCGGGCCCAGCAGCTCCACGTACTCCCGGCCAGCAAGGACCACGGCGCTCCGGGAGTCCCGGATGACATACTCCAGCTCGGCCTGCGGGTGCTTCCTGTAGAGGGGGACAGCGACGCCCCCGCTCATCCACGAGGCCCACTGCGCGACCACGTAGGAGACGTCATTGGAGCACATGAAGGAGACCCTCTCCTCCTGGAGGTCCCCGCCGGCACACCCGAGGAGCCGGCACAGCTCCCGGGACAGGCGGAGGCTGTGGTGGTAGAGGTCCTTGTACGTGTGGCGGCCGTGCTGGTCAACGAGGGCAATCCGGTCCCCGAAGGCCAGGGCCCGGCTGAACACGGGGGCACTCCTGTCCGAACAGGCCGCCGGGGCCGTGTGCAGGGGGCTGCCTCGTCTGCATCTCACGGGAGCCGGCCGCCGGGAGGCCGCAGCACAGAGCAGGCGCCGGAGGGACATCACGGGTGGGGGGCAGCACCGCACCCACAAACGTCCAAGTGGATTTACCTGGGGCGGGGCCGGGAGAGAGGGCGCCACAGGTTACCGCCGCCAGAGCGGGGGTGGAATTGCCCAGATGGCGTCGGCCGGCCCCCGGGCACCAGCTGACATCCCGAACCGAAAGCCACCGCGACACGGCACCTTCCGGACCCACCGCCCAGGGCCCCGGCCTCGTACTTGCTCGTTAAAGGACCTCAAAAATGCAGTTTCTAAAACAACTAAACTAGGCAAAAACCAAGGAAAAGCAAGTTCAAGGCCCTTCAAGTAAATTCTGAATCACTTACTGGCTGCAGAATTACTAGCTACGGGGAGGGAGCACCGAGGGCCGCTGAGCACCTGTTCTCTGTGCCCCCCGCGGGCGCAGCCTGGAGGCCGGGGCACCCGGAACCCACACACAGGCCGCGCTTCAGCTCCGCACGCACCCCTCCCTGGAGCGCGGTCCGGAACGCGGCGGCCTGCAGAGGCCCAGACAAAGTGAGTCTGCGGGTCTCAGGTGCGTGTCTGGGTTGAAGCCGAAGGGGACTCTTCCCTCTCCGTCAGAATCAGGACCCCGGGGCCAGGAGAAGGAAGAGCCCTCCGGGAGGGGCTGTGGTCGGCTGACTTCTCCCTGCACTTGTGCTGAGCGCCCAGAGAGGGGAGCCTCCTGCAGCAAGCCGCTAGGCTCTGGGCCACCACCTCCTGGGGACAGCCAGGGGCGTCAGCACTTAGCAGGAGAGGGTGCAGGCTTTCAAGACTGCCTCCGCTGGACCACAGTTTAGAGCTGAAGTTCAGCTCAATTCCAGGGGTCAGGAGCCCACCTGCTACCTGGAGCCTCTGCCACCAGCATGACCGGAAGACTCCGGGTTGTGCGACCGTTTGCTCTGGGTTGAAATCCCCAATTTCGCAGCTCCTTCAGCTCTCACTGCTCCTCACTGTGCCCCCCTCCCTGGGCGCACTCCGCGGCCTCTGCCCCTTCTGGGCTCTGGGTCACCGGCAGTGAAAATGCACCTCCCGCACTAGGATGTGTCTGCGCCCCGTAACCCCCTTCGGCTGCGGCCGGGCTGCTCAGTGGGCAAGGAAACCACCTCGGACTTACTTCGCACAAAGAAACTTCCAAGGTGCCCAGCCCCCAAGTCAGAGACAGAGCCCAGCCAAGCCCACGCCCCCCCCATCCCGGAAGAGCCCCCTGCCCCCGCAGCAGAGCCTCCCATCCCAGCCAAACCCACCAGAGCCCACAGCCGGTCAGGAGGCATGAGCCCAACCAATGACCGCACACCGCCGGTCCCTGGAGGGTGGGGTGGGGGAGGACAGGCACAGGGACCCCAGAGGGCACCTCTGGATATGCCACAGGCTGACGGGATGCCTGCCGTCCAACAACACTGTAACAGAAGCTGTACATCTTGCCCCCTTCCCAGCAGGCCCAGCAAAACAGAGACCAGTAGGGGCCCAGGCGCCCCCACCTCCTCCCCCATGCTCTGTCTCCCACTCTCTCCCCCCACTCCCCCTGCTCAGCAAGTTCTCCCCCTGACAAACCCTGGCTTTGCTCTTTCATTCACTTGCCACAGGGGAAGACTAATGTGTTATTGTTTGTTACACGAAGGAAACGGTTTTGTTCTCTGTTCTTAATTTAAAAACAAATTATACACAACACTTTATAATTACCCAACAAAACAAACAGGCTGCGGAAGTGTGAACTGTGCTTTGTGTGAGCCCCTGAGCCCCTCGGCAAGCAAGCAGTGCGCCATGCAGTGTGGGGGCCCCCGTGCAGTGTGGCAGGCCGAGGCTTTCTCCCGCGGCCTGGGGGCTCCGCAGGGAAGCTCTGGGCGGCCTGGCGGGGGGCCTGTTCCAGCAGCCACCAGGGGGGACCCCACCCGCACCGCGGGCCTTTCAGGACCCCCTCAGCTCCCGCGGCTGGCGGAGGCCCCGGGCGAGTCCGCCTTAACAGTCCACAGCCTCCAGCCGCCTAAGGGTCGGTTCTCAAACATACTGGACCCCACGCTATCTCCAGATGAAAGAGGCAGTCATTCAAAGCCCCCGTGTCCTATCACTTCTCTGGGTCCTTGTCCTGCCCTCTTCCCGTGGGTCAGAGGCGGATCCGTGGCTGGGTCTGCGCGTCTGCTACTATAAAGAAATCTGACAAATGGTAAGGAGAGAGCTGGGCTCAACCAGAGAAAACAGTAAATGTGATAAACATGTTTCGGAGAGAAAGTAAGCTCGTGAAGAACAAAGCAGGGTAGCTTTGACAGGTTTCCTTTCCTCACTTCTAGCAAATTCTTCTCTATTAGCCTCTATTAGTGGCCTCTATTCCCTCTATTAGTGGCCAGAGGGAAAAGAAGAAAGCCTGCTACCAGGCACTTCTGGGCCACGCGGAGGCCGGCTCTTCTGGGGGAGAGCACAGGACAGGTGCTCAGGGCGCTAGCTGGGGGTGCTAAGGAACGGAGCACCCCAGCAGCCACCAACAGCTGCCTCCTCCACCTCTGTCCCCAGGAGGCACCGGAGGGGGTGTCAGGCGTGGGGTCGTGACTGCAGCCACAGAAATCCACGCCACTTTCCTTTCATCCACATGTGCTCCCATGTCTCCCCTCCAGGCCCTCAAAGAACAGACACCTCCTGCCTCCCTGTCACTGGGAGATGGGGGTACGCTGCCTGCGTATCCCGGGGTCCCAGGAGCTGCGCCACAGCAGGGGCAGACGGCACTGAGAAGCTGGAGTCTGAGCCCTTGGACCCCGTGCCCTGGGGTCGGTCCCGAGAACCGGAAAGCAGGGCTGAGTCCACCCTCTCTCCCTCGCCGGGGCCTCGGCTGGCCCCGTAAACAGGGCTGTGGACGGACGGGGCAATGGCCCCAAGAGGCAGACATCTGACTTCGACCCAACAGGCTTCACCAGCCACAAGCCAGGCTGCCCCAGGGCATCGACTCAGCCACCCAAAAAGATACTTCACAGTCAGCTCAAGATGAGACCAAAAAGCCCCAGAGAACACAAGCCCTGTGTTCCCACAGTGGTATTTTTAAAGCATAGCCTCGGAAAATACTCGAGACGTGCACCACGACGCACAAACGGGACGTTCGCTGCGATGTTATTTACGATACGGAAAACTGGGACTCAACCAGAGGGTCCAGAAGAGGTTTAAGGAGATCAGGGTGAGCACGGGGTGCCGGGGCCCCAGCCCAGCTGTGGAAAGCGTCCTGCAACGCCACTGAGGGAAAAAAATGGTTGCAGCTGAGAAGCCTTGAAGGCGGACACCAGGTGATCGGGGGGTTGTGGGAATCAGGTGATTCTTGGCTCCTCTCAGTGCTTCCCAATTTTCTCCAATTTTTCTGAAATGAGCACGTACAACTTTCACAGTCCGGTGTTTCAAAAGCCTAATAAATGTCATTTAGTTTCCAAAAGTGGAGATGCTCCAACTGCAGCATTATTTTCTTCTACACAAAAGAGACAAAAATATACAACCATTTGTTTTGGATGGTGGGTCTGCAGGGTGTCTGTAGCTCTCCATAGCTCTTTAGTTTCCTCAAAACGATAGAAGCAAATAAAAAGGAGACAACAGCGTTTTTCCTTCAGTTAAAACTGCCGGTTCGTAAGAGGCTTGTGCAGACGTGGAAACATCGGTGCCGATGAAGCAGCTCCTGCGGCGGCCGCGTGGACGGGGACACACTAGGCATCTCCCGCTACCAGTCTGAGCGTCTGGAGGCCGGCGAGACCGGGACAGATGCCGCGAGCGGAGGGCTCCCGGAAGCACGGCCTCAGGCCAGAATCGCCGCAGCTAAGGTAAGAAGGAGCCCGCCGGGCAAATGTCCGGGGAAGGAGCCACAGGGCGTACGTACTGGGCTCCCAGGGGGTAGTTCGTGGAGCAGATTCTGAGACGTGGCCCTCCCAGGGCTCACCAGGGGGCCTCACAGCAAAAATTACTTTTAATTTGGGGAAATACTGCCAGAGTCCCCTCCAGAGAGGATGCGCTAATTTATTCTGGCACCATCCCTTCAAGACGGCTTTTAAGTTGCCCACCTAAGTGACCCTGAAATGACTCGTCATGAACTCTTGTAGACAAGGCTAGTCTTCAAGATCAGGGGATCAGGACCCCGACGGGAACAGGCAAAAACATACCTCTATCCAGGGCAGATGACTGTGTGTCATCCTCCTGGACACCTTTGGGTCCAGAAGGACCAACAGACCCTTCAGGAAGACAGCCCCACCTTCCAGCCACAGGGCCTCCTTGGTCACGGGGACTCCACCACCCCCAGCGGCTCGGCTTCGACTGCCACTGCCACCAAGTAAATGCGGTCAGGCCACGGGTTCTCCCTGTCTCAACGACCCAGCTCCACGAAACTGCTCTTGGATCACCAGCCGGCCCCAGATGGCCACGGGCACCGGGCTGCGATGTGGCAGGATCCCGGCCAAAGACCAGAGGAACCTGCATTTTGGTTTTCTTCTCCCAGGACACGCTGCTTTCAGGTTCCTCCAGCGGTGAGAAGCCCAGCCCGAGACCCCCGAGGCCGCTGGTTATGCTCACCACCCAGACTCTCCGGCGGAACCGAAGCCCACGGGGCATCAGGAAGGTGGTGGGGGTCACACCCATGGCTCAGAGCACAGGCTCCAGAGTCAGCACAGGCCTGCACCGGGGCCTCTGCTCCTCCCCCCTGAGTTCTGCACCTGCCTAAGCCTTCACTTCCCTTTGGTTACAAGGCCTGCGTGCAGCCTGTGCAGGAAGGACCCAGGGGCCCCGCAGCAGGAATCACTTCCTGAGTGATACTTGCATTCAAACGAGGGTGGCTGCTTTCTAAATGAGTAAGAGCGCACGTGACGGCCCCCAGAACCCGAAAGTCTGTATTTCTAACAGGCATCACGGTGCGTCCAGGACCGCTACCCTCAAATCAAAAAACCCAAAGG